CAAGTAAACGCAAGAGATTAGCATTTCTGGACCTATTATTAGAGAATCATTTCAATGATAATTCACTGACTCTGGAGGACATCCGGGAAGAGGTCGACACTATTATGTTTGCCGGACACGACACCACTGCCCTAAGCCTGTCCTGGACACTTTACTTTATTGGTATACTTTTGTGCATTTAATAGTTATCTAAGATAACTTATCCTTATAAAATGATTTTTAGATATTATAATATAAATTATCTTAATGAATGAAATGTAAAAAATGTCTACAGGTTTGGATCGGGATATACAGCATCGTATTCACGAGGAAATGGACTCTATTTTGGGCACAAATAGAGACGTCACTATCGATGACATCAAACAAATGCATTACTTGGAGGCAGTTATCAAAGAGTCTCTGAGACTCAGACCTCCCGTTCCCACAATTATACGCGCCATTAAGGAAGACCTGAATCTTGGAAAGTATACAATACCTAAAGGCGTCTCACTGTGTCTGATGATAGATAGTTTACATCAGGATCCCGATATATATCCTGAACCTCTACTTTTCAAACCCGAAAGGTTTCTGAGTGAAGGGAACAGTAGTGCCAATCCCTTCGCATACCTGCCCTTTTCGGCCGGTGTCCGCAATTGTATCGGTCAGAAGTTTGCGTTAATTGAGTTGAAAATAGTTTTGGCGAAAGTGTTGCTTAACTATAGCTTTGAATCCCTGGACCCGAGAGACCGTATCATTGAATACAACGCTATTGTCTCGAAACCAAAGGGTGGGCTAAGGGTTAGAGTTAGCCATAGGAGTGGTGTGTAAACTAATTGCAAGAATTGCAAGAATTTGTGTATTTTCTGTCTATTTACCAAAAGTGCTATTTATATTAATTATATTTTGTTTAATTTAAAATACTCTTAAATTGTAATTTTAAAGTTTATAGAATTATTTGCATTTCATTAAAATGAAATTATTTTGTAACACTAATTACACTTTTGTTTATATAAATACAGTATTAACTAATTATTTTTTGACACTGTATAAATATTTAATTGGATACAGTTTTCTATTATATTATATACTAAAATTAATTTCTATAAACACAAAAGTCATTAACGCGAATTGAGTTTGTTATTAATAAAAGTATTTTACACATTTTTGTTTTATAAATTATAATTCATAACTCGAAAATGCTTAAAAACTTTTTTGTGGAGTTATCTTATAATCTAAACTTTTATATAAACTTTATATGACTTTAAATTTTAAAGTTTCAATGCTTATATAAAAGTTCTTATTTATAAAATATCAAAAAGTTATATTTTAAAACTTATACAGTATCATTCTTATATTTTGATCAAATACTTTTTTACAGTTTTTATTTTTATTTAAACCCTATCTAATGAGTTTAATCTTAAGGTTATTTTTTTATTTTCAGTTTTTAAAATATATATAGTATTTAACGTATTATCATAATAATATTATAATATTAATTATTATTACATTATTATTACATTATTATTACATTATTATTACATTATTATTACATTATTATTATTATTACATTATTATTATTATTAATATAATATTATTATACTGTAGAAAGGTAAACACTTTTTGAGTTTTGTATTAATTAGAAAAGACTGTAATTGTAAATAATTGTCACACATTTGAGATATCAATTGTGATTTTGTTTGTTGTTTATACGATATGGTTATTTATGGAGATATTTTTAATTATAATTAAAATAGAATCAAGTTCAAATTGTATACAACATTATTTTCAATTCAAGTGTAATATAAAACAATTATTACATCAGAAATTACCCTGTACTTTGTTCACTTATAAACACTACTGAAGTACTAGATACAATAAAATTTACAAAACGTTATGATATTTTTAAAATTATAGTTTAAATGTATGATAATTTTTATTTTATCTCAAACTCGTGACTGATAT